ATTTATTTTTGAAGGAGAGAGACAGAGAGACAGAGCATGAGCAGGGGAGGAGCAGAGATAGAGGGAGACACAGAATCGGAAGCAGGCTCCAGGCTCTAAGCTGTCAGCACGGAGCCCGATGCGGGGCTCAAACTCACAAACTGTGAGATCACGACCTGACCGGAAGTGGGATGCTTAACCTACTGAGCCACTCAGGCACCCCTCCCATGGATGTCTCTTAATCTTTAGAAACGTCCTTCTTACAGATGAGGAAATCAAGGCAAAGAGAAGTTTAAGTAACCTGCCTGAGATTACACAATCTTTCTGAGCATTTGCGACTTTCCAGAAGGAGGCAGAGGACCTACCTTTTTCTCCTATCTCTCTGACCTCTCTTGTGGCCACCTGTTTATCCATCTTGATTTTTACATTCCCTAGGATTTTGTCTTTTTGGCCTCATCTCAGGCCACACAACTCTTTTAAGGTTATTCCTACTTGTGGCTACATGCTGATGAACAGGCACCTCAAACTCAACAGGTCCCAAACTGAACTTGTCAACACCAAGTATATTCCTCCTACTACTGCTGAGTTTCCCAAGTTGTTTATTTATACACGTGTATTCTCCCTCGCTCCTTTATTCATTTCTTAATGACCCATAGTTCACACTCCCATATTATCTGTGCCCAGACTATAACAGCCTTCTTAGTCTCTCTCCTTTCCTCCCTCCTTCCTAGATGCTGCAAACCTTTCTCTGCTCTGCCCACCAATCATTGTTGTCATTTCACTTTCTGCTTAAAACCTTTCATGGTTCCTCTCACCTTTAAGCATAGGTGAGAAGTCTAGTCTGGCCCATAAGACACTTTGCAATGTGGCCCTGCTTACTTACATATCCAACCTCATTCTCTCAGTACTTAGTTGGAGGTATATGCACCTTGAGAGAGAAGTATTAAGTATATAACGCAACTAGCTGCTTGTTACCAAATCATTTTACGCCCAAGCCCATTAACTCCACAGAGGCTGCTTATTTTTATAGATCACAATTCCTCCAAAATTTCCTCCTTCTTTTGGATGAAAGTGAGGAAGACTAAGAGTGAGAAATTATGCTAGTAAATTCACTTGGCAAAAGTTTACTGACCACTTACCTCACAGAGGACACAGGGTAGGGGAATATTAAATAATAGCCCTCAGGTTTTCATTCTAGTAAAAAAGAGGTAAGGCTAGACACAGTAGATGCAAACTCCCCTTTGACTCATGAATGTGCTATGGGGGTCATCTGAGGCCTGAATCTGAATCAACCGCTCTAAAGGCTGGCATGCAGAAACTTATCACTTAGCTAGTAAATGAGCTTGGCTGAATACATAATGATCACAACCCAATGAAACTTAATTACGAAGGGTCTGACTCACAGTTTTCATTTATATTTTAAGCCACACAGGGGAAATAATTTGCTACCATGGTACTTGCTAATTTGTGTACTCTCAAATATCCTTGGTGAATATTAACGGCCTATAGCCTACTAAATAAGGCAGTATGTGGTCCAAACCAGGTACAAGTGAGAAGGAGCAGGTCACCTCAGCCCATTTCTGGTAAGGATGGAGGATGCTGCATCTGTATTTAGTTTTGAAGAACAGTGAGAACTTAAAATGGCAAAGATGGGACTAAAGGCCCTCCACACAAATAGACTGGCAAAAGCAAAGATCAAGATAGGCAAATGTTCAAAGCACAACTAGGGAACTTCTAGAAAACCAGTGCTCCCTCTAGAGGCAAGAGGAAACCAATGAGATTTTCTGATCCAAAAGTGACAGCCATGTAAACTGAAAACATTCATGTACACTCTGCAAGGTGCTCCTTGCCCTATCCAACCATTCATAACTGTAAAAATATCAATGTTTCAGGTTTGAAATATATCCAAAGGAGCATGCCAAGTTTTCAACACCTTCTAAAGCAAAGTAAAGTAAACAGTAAATATAGGACAGCTTCTGCCTTGGCACATGGGCAAAGGTGACTAGCCATGCCAACCTCACTCAGAAAAGTGGCCAGGAATGCCTGGGGGTGGGGGAGGAGGGGATGATGAATCAAGGGAAAGGCAGTGCAGTGGGTTCCCACACCTGCCTCTCTTTTCAACCCTGTCAATCAAGATATGAACAATTTCTGAGGCTTCCTGCTTCAAAGATTCTGGGGTACTACTGACAAACTTTGTTACCTTACTGGGTGAAAATAATTATCAAACATTTTCCTTCAAAAATTTGGGGGAGGGAGGGCACTAGGATAAAGAAAGGGAAGGAGTGGGGCATGAGATGAATAAATCCAAGTAGAAATGCAAAGCCATGGTTACCCTTCCTTGCTGCTGCCTCTTTCCTGAGTTTCCTCAATTTCTCCAAGGCCCGAAGAATGTCCACCATTCTTTTGGTGTCTGCTTGTTTTTTCCTCACTTCAGATAAGACACCATCAGCAGCAGCTTTAAGTTCCTGCTCCTGGAAAAGAAAGAGAGTCTATGAAACCTAGTATTAGAAACAACCTCAAAGCAGAGAACAGCTGCCCAGCAGTGAGATTTCAGAGGATTAGGCAGTCTCAGGGATAAGAATTTCTATAGGATCTACATCCCAATTTCCTGGGCTATACACAACTGCTCTCCACACTGGTCCAGCCAAGGGGTTAATCTTCTCTGCAGCTTCCATGTGGGAGCTCATCTTTGTTTTTTCCTCAGAATTTCTCCAAGTGCAGTCCAAGGAACATCTGCATCCAACTTGCTTTAAGTTGGGGCTCTCTTGTTAGAAGTGCAGATTCCTGGACCCAAAGACTTAGATTAGAATGGAAGATAAGGAATGGGGTTGGAAAGGCCCAGGACTCTACAATTCTGTCAGTGACCCACAACACACATAGCTTGCACTCCAGTGTTCTAAAGTGCCAAGGATCTTGTGACATGACAGCCTTTCCAACACGGAACACCCCATCCTACTTGTTTTTGTTTTGTTTTGTTTTGTTTGAAATATACACCATTACCATCTTTATTTATTTTAATTTTGTTTTTTTTTTTAATTTACATCCAAATTAGTTAGCATATAGTGCAACAATGATTTCAGAAGTAGATTCCTTAGTACCCCTTACCCATTTAGCCCATCCCCCCTCCCTCAACCCCTCCAGCAACCCTCTGTTTGTTCTCCATATTTATGAGTTCTCTTTCTGTTTTGTCCCCTCTCCCTTGTTTTATATACATATTTTTGTTTCCCTTCCCCATATCATCTTTGTTTTATTCTAAAGTCCTCATAAGGAGAGAAGTTATATGATTTTTGTCTTTCTCTAATTTCACTTAGCATAATACCCTCCAGTTCCATCTATGTAGTTGCAAACGGCAAGATTTCATAAGACCCTATCCTACTCTTAAGTTGGTTCACAAGTAGACGAAATAACTCTGGTTCTTTAAACCACCACTCACAGGACCCTGTCTCCAACCCCCTCATTGTGGGTGGTAAGAAAGATCCTTTTGCCTAAAGCTCTCAACCCGTGTATCAAGTAAGTGCCTGTAATTCCACCAATACCACCACATCATACAGACATCATACAGTTTCCTTCTTCTGCTTGTACCACTCTCTGCCTGGAACTGCACCTGTTGCTTTCACTTGGCTTTGACATTTCCTTCAAGACTCAGGTCAGAGGTCCCCTCATCCACAAAGCCTTCCCTTACCCTGTTTCCCAACAGACTGGATATTCCTTCTCTGGGTTCCAATAGCACTTACAGTTGAAACCCTAACACATACCATGCTGTATAGACATGGTCCCCATGAGGCTCTAAGCCCCTCAAGGACAAGCACTATATCCTAATCGTCCCTATCACCAGCACCCAGCAGTGGGTCTGGCACATAATGGGTTCTTATTAAATGTCTGTGAAACTGATACAAACTCCTTAGATTACAGTGCTGCCTCCAAGTATTCTCCTTAAAAGTACTGATATTCCTGGAGGTGTGAAGACAAAGTTTGCCATCACTACATTTCTGGAAGGAGTTATATCAGAATCTAGGCAGTAACAGACACAAGGAGTATGAGAAGGAGAAAATACTAACTAGTTGTAGAGTGAAGGGACAGGGGAAGCACCTACAGGCACTCAGAAGTAATGAGAATGCCTTAAACAACTATCTGACCAATTTCCAGTTTCACTCTGGCCCCTACTTAAGAGCTTAAGATCAAGAGGCTTTGGAATCAGCCAATCTGGACTCAAATCAGGAGCAAAACAGCTAGGAACCAGTTGTGTGATTGTTGGCAAGTTAACTTCTCTAGGCCTCAATTTCCTAATCTGTAAAATGGCTTACCTTTCAGGGTTGTTACAAGGATTAAAGATCTGGTATATGCAAGGAATTTAGAGCAGCATCTAGTATTTGGCAAGTGCTCAAAAACACCATTGTTTAACTGGGGGGGGGGGGAGGGGGAAGGGCGGGGGTTGGAAATACCTGGTTTAAAACTCCTAAACAAAGGGATCCTGCAGAAGTCATCACTATAGCCCCATCAGTCAACTAGAGTATATGTTCCTTGCGTCAAGGCCCCACGTGTTCTAGATTTTGTATTCTTAAAATCAGCCAGACCAGTACAAGAAGCAAGGACACAGATTCTTGTTTGCCTTGAATGTTAGTAAGCGGACAGAACGTTGTAATAGGAGGCAGGGCGTCCGTCATCCCTGTAACGCCATTGTGTAATCCTATACTTTGTGTTTACACAACTCGCGGTGCACCTGGAGCATTTGTGTTTTGTATTATACAACATTAACAGGCAATCAGTATAGGGATACGATGTCGGAAATGCTGGCTATCTTTTAATTTACGGCTGAGGAAAAAGGCTTAGCTGTAGGAAACGACAGCGCAAAACCTCACGGCCCTTCAGGTTCCAGACTTGAACTACCCCCAGCCTCCGCACATCTGCCGCTCTTACCCGCTTCTTCTCCTCCACCTCCTGCACGCACTTGACCCTCCAGAGGTCAATCTCCTGCTCGCGCTCCGCTGCTCGCGCGGCCTCCGCCTCCCGCTCGGCCTCGCGTTCCCGAGCCCTCTCGCGAAGCCGAAGCCGGCGGCGCCGGACCCTCTCCAGCCTCCGCCGTGCCTCACCCACATAGGCGGCCTGGGTCAGCAGCTGTAGTCTCTCGGCCAGTTCGGCGCGCAACGGCGCAGCCTGGGCATGCAACAGTACCCAGGCCGCGCCGTCAGCCTCGGCCTCGCGCAGGGCCTGGCCCAGGTCGCGCAGCCGTCGCACCAGGCGCAGAGCCCCGCGCAACCGCGCGCGCACTTCGCCCAGGCTGGGCCCGGCGGGCGCGCGTGGAGGGAGTGGGCAGCCCGCCCGCCGCGGGGTTCCGAACACCGCCTCTAGCCACTGCCGGTCGCGCAGGCGCTGCAAGGCCGCGTCCCCGAGTACGTCGGACGGCGGCGGCGCCTCAGGCCAACGGGGGCTCCACGGCGGCCCCGGGCCTGGCGGCGGCGGCCGTGGCCGCTCACCAGCGTCAGTCCCCGGGAAGGGCCGGCACTGGGGCGGCGGCGGAGGCAGCGGCGGTGGCGGCACCGGGTAGTAGACGCCGCCGCCGCCACCGCCGCGAGAGGCTTCCCCGGGGGCCCGGGGCTGCAGAGCCAGCGGGGGCTGGAGGAAGGGGGCGGAGGCCCCCGGAAAGGGGCCGGGCCGCTGGGGAAGAGGCGGCGGGAAAGCCGGGGAGGGCAGCGGCGGTGGCGGACAGCCGAAGGGAGCGGGAGGCGGCGGCTGCGGGGGCGGCGGGCCTGGGCGACCTGGGGCGAAAAAGGGCGGCAGAGCCATGTCCACGACGAAGGGAGTCAGAGAAGTGACAGGAATTTGAGTGGTTCCTGTAGAGGGGGTGGGGGGAAGTGACGTACTACGCGCGCGACGCCTATAGAACGCTTCCGGCCCAGAGAGCCTCGCCAGTAGGTTGGCATTCCTTCAGTTCGTCAATTCCTAAATATGAGTAAGCGTTGGTCTTGCCGAGCTAGCTGTTTTGCGAACAATTTAACAGCTATAGGTCTTCTCCTCGTAGAACTACCTGCCTAGTAACAAAAACACGTTAATCAAGTAATCGTGCAAACAAATGCAAAGGTGCAGCAGTAAACGGAAGTACAACCAAAGAGGAAAACACTGGGTAAGAAGAACTTAAAAGAGGTTTGACTTAGTCAAAGAAGTTAGGGAGGTTGTCCTAGGATTTGAGCCTTTATCGTGACTTGGGAAATAAAGGCAGAAGGAAATGGTAGATAAAATTAAATTTCCTTTATAACCTGCATCCCATTGACAAATACTTGAGGCAGGCAGAGTGTAACATTTCTCCAGGAACTCCCAACTGTCTGATTAATGTTTTTTGTTAGAGAGGAAAACAACCTTAGCTTGACAATAGTTAAGCCTCCAGAATCCTGTGAGCCTTTAGCATATGACTTTGGAAACTTCCCATTGACTTTACCTCCACCAACTCCCAAGTATATAACCACTCTTGCCTCACGGTCCAGGCAGCTCTTTCTGCGCATGGGTCCTGTCCCCGTGCTTTAAAAAAATCACCTTTTTGTATCAAAGACATCTCAAGAATTCTTTCTTGGCTGTGGGCTTCAGACCCCACCATGACTCCAAAACCCCATCAGGAACAGCATTTGCAAAAACTCCCCAGAAGGTCAAGCCAGGGAGCTGAAAGAATGCCAGTTATGGATGTGATGTGATGTTGGCGTCCCAGAGCGAACGATCTTGAGTTCGATCTTGAATTCTTGAGATGTTTTCAGTGCAAAAAAGGTGGTTTCATTAAAGCATGGGACAGGACCGTGGGCTGAAAGATCTATACTGGAATTGTGAAGAGCAATTGGTTATATACTTTTAAGTTGGAGGGTGGGATAGAGACAGTCCTTCAGGAGTGACAGCAGTGAGCCCAATGCAAGATCGTGGCCTGAGCTGACGTCGGAGGCTCAACCAACTGAACCAGCCAGGTGCCCCTCCAAAAGGACTTTCATATGTTAACGAGGACTTGCAGTGTCCTGCAGGTCTGGTTATTGTTAAGCTAAGGTTGCTTTTTGCCTCTAGTAAAGTATTAAGACAGTTGAGAGTTCCTGGAGGAATGTCATAATCTTCGTGTCTCAAGTATGTCAAAGGGCTGCAAGTTGTAAGGAAATTTAATTTTATCTACATTTCCTTTTTCCTTTGTTCTCCTTCTCAGATGGAACACAGAAGGCCTGAAGGGAGCTGGCAGTCCTGGGAGGAGGACAGATTTTAGCATTCTAGGATCTCATATCTTAACAATGGAAAACCACTGGAGGGGAAGGAAAGACCATGCCACATGATTAATGATGAGGGAACATAACACAGCTGAGGGCAAAATACAAACTAGCACCACCACCACCTACTTGCCCTGCCCAAGGTGGAAAGGGGTTTAAGTGCTTGCCATGGTGATGTGGGAAACTAAGGCAAATGAAAAATTCCCTTACCTTTGGAAACTTCCTTTATCTCAACTCCCCCAAGGTATATGCTGGGAATCATATTCCAAGCTTGTGGTCCCCTGATATACATCTGAAGGGTCTCATAACAGAGAGATAAATACCGTTTTTACTAAACGGTAATAAATGCCATTTTCCTAACAACAGCTAGCCCCTCAAGGTCCTGGAATCCTTGCCTCCAAAATTTCTTAGAGACTTACGCTGTCCCTAACCACACTCCCAACATGAGGGTATATAATCAGTTACCTGTCACAATCCCAGTGCAGCTCTTTCTGTCCACAGGTTCTGTCCCGTGTTTAGTAAAAACACCTTTTTGCACCAAAGATGTCTTCAAGAATTCCTTCTTGGCTGTTGGCTCAGAATCCCACCATGACCCCAAAACCCCATCAATTAGATATTTAAAATTAAACTATTTTGAGATAATTGTAGATTCGTGTGCAGTTGTAAGAAATAATAGAGGGAGATCATGTGTACTCTTCATCCCAGTTCCTACCAATGGTAATACCTTCCAAAACTGTAGTACAATATTACAACCCAGATATTGACATTGATATAGTCAAGATACAGAACATTTCCTTTCCATAGCTTCCAGGATCCTTCATTTCCCCTTTTATAACCACACCCCCTGGCAACCACTAACCTGTTCTTCATATAACTTTGTCCTTTCAAGAATGTCATGTAAATGGAATCATGCATTACACAACCTTTTGGAATTCTCTGCTTTCACTCAGCATAATTTTCTGGAGATTTATTCAGGGTGTTGTATCAATAGTGTTCCTTTTTAACAAAAGTGTACAAAAAAGGTATGAATAAAATGAAATCACTTTTTTTTTTAGTTTTTATGTATTTAAGTAATCTCTATGCCTAATGTGGGGTTCTAACTCATGTGCCCAAGATCAAGCGTCACAAGCTCCTCCAACTGAGTCGGCCAGGTGCTAAAATGAAACCACTTTTAAAATCATTCACCTATTGACGGATATCTGGGTTGTTTCTACTTTGGAGTTATCATGAATAAAGCTGCTATAAACATTTGTATACAGGTGTTTTTTTTTTAATTTTTTTTTTTTAACGTTTATTTATTTTTGAGACAGAGAGAGACAGAGCATGAACGGGGGAGGGTCAGAGAGAGGGAGACACAGAATATGAAACAGGCTCCAGGCTCTGAGCTGTCAGCACAGAGCCCGACGCGGGGCTTGAACCCACGGACCACGAGATCATGACCTGAGCCGAAGGCGGCCGCTCAACCAACTGAGCCACCCAGGCACCCCTGTATACAGGTTTTTATGTTAAATGAAAATCTTTGGGATAAGTGCCCAGGAGTGCAACTGCGGGGTCATACGGCAATTGCATGTTTAGTTTATTATTATTGTTTTAAAAGTTTATTTATTTTGGGAGACAGAGTGTGTGTGTGTGTGTGTGTGTGTGTGTGTGTGTGAGAGAGAGAGAGAGAGAGAGAGAGAGAGAGAGAGAGAGAGAGAGAGAGAGAGAGAGAGAGAGAGAGAGAGAGAGAGAGAGAGAGAGAGAGAGCGCGCCAGGGGAGGGACAGAGAGAGGAGAGAGAGAAGCCTAAGCAGGCTCTGCGCAGTAGGCACAGAGCTCAACTCAGAGCTTGATCTCATGAACAGTGAGATGATGACCTGAGCTGAAATCAAGACTCAGACACTTAGCTGACTGAGCCATCCAGGTGCCCCAGTTGCATGTTTAGTTTTTAAAGAAATTGACAAATTATTTCCAGAATGGCTGCGCCATTTTACAGTCCACCAGCAATATGGGGTGATCCAGTTTCTTTGCATTCTCACTAGCATTTGTGTTACTAGTTTTTACTTTATTTTTGTACTTCCTTAATGGCTAGTGTTGGACATCTTTTCATATGCTTATTTGCCATCTGTATATCCTTTTCATTGAAATGTCTGATCATATCTTTTGCCCATTTTCTAATTGGATTGTTTTTCTTACTGTTGATATTTAAGAGTTCTTTATGTATGTGTTCTAGATACAAGTCCTTTGATATGTGGCTTACAAATATTTTCTCCCAGTTTACAGCTTGTCTTTTAATCCCCTTAACAGGATTTGCTTTTTTAAAAAATAGAACTTAAGTCCTTAATTTTAATGAAGTCCAACTTACCAGTTTTTTTCTTTTATGGATCATTCTTTTGGAGTCAGATAAAGAATTCTTAGCTCTACATCCTGAAATTTTTCTCGTGTGCTTTTTCTAAAAGTTTTATAGGTTTACATGTAAGTATGTAAGTCTGTGATCCATTTTGAGTTAATTAAAAAATATTTCTAATATATATATATTGAGGAGAGGAGCAGAGGGAGAGAGAGAGAGAATCTTAAGCAGGTTCCACACTGAGTACGGATGTAAGGCTCGATCCCACAACCTTGGGATCATGACCGGAGCCGAAATCAGGAGTCAGATGCTTAACTGACTGAGCCACCCAGGCACCCCGAGTTAATTTTTGTATAAGGTGTGAAACTTAGGTTGAGGTTCTCCACCTCCACCCCTTTGGATGTCCAATTGCTCCAGCATCACATGATTAAATCTTCACTATTCAAAGCAATAATAGATGACCTGTTGGGTAAGAGTCCAGATCTATACCATGAGAACAGATCAATGCCTGACCCCACCTTCTAAGAGACTTCTTATATTTCTGAGATTTTTTAATAATGTTCTATATTTTACTTGTATCATTTTTTGTAATACTGTACAAAATACTTAAACGCTTCAATTTTTTTTAAGTGGACTTCACACCTAGTGCAGAGCCCAATGTGAGGCTTGAACTCATGACCCCAAGATCAAGACCTGAGTTGAGATCAAGAGTCGGATGCTTAACCAACTGAGCCACCTAGGCGCCCCTAAAGGCTCCTATTTTTATCTAAAACTTTATTAGGTAAGTTATAACTTATATTTTCTAGATACTCAGTTGTCAATATCATTTACTAAATATTCTTTTTCTCGTTAATTTGAAGTATCACCTTTTCCAGTACTAAATTCCCGTATGCATTTGGCTTCATTCTTTTCGAATTCTAAATTCGCATATATATTTCTGGTTTTTCTTTTCCATTGGTCCGTTCATTCATGCACTGTTACACACTTAAGCTTTTAAAACTTTATAACATATGTATAGCATAAGGTATATATATGTGTGTGTGTAATATACATTTGTATTTCCTCTCTCTCTCTCTCTATATATATATATATATAATTTTTAATAGAAGAGGCAGCCCCTCTTCATTCTTCTTTCAGTGTGGTTAAATGGAGAGGTTCTGGAACCATTCTACCTGGGGTTAAATCCTGTTATTTACTAGTTATGTCACCTTGGAAAAGCTACTTACCCAGTCAGGACTTCAGTTTATAAGAAGGGTTGATAATAGCATCTACTTCATAGAGTTGTTGCATTAAATGCATGCAGAGTAACACAGAGTAAGCACTATATGAGTGCACACTATCATTTTGCTTATCATTCTTGTTTACTTTTCCATAAATTTTAGAAATTTAAAAAATTTTTGGCATTTTATTGCAATATTAAATTTATAACTATAGGGTTAATAGACATCTTTATAATACTGAGTTCTCCCTTTGAAGAACATAGGATTACCACTTTTTATCAGATTTGCAAACACCTACCCAATCTGTTCTTCCATTTCCACTGCTATCACCTTAGTCCAACCCATTATATATATACATATTTTTAATATTTTTATGTTTATTTATTTTTAAGAAAGAGAGAGACAGAACATGAGCAGAGTAGGGGCAGAGAGAGAGGGAGACACAGAATCTGAAGCAGGCTCCAAGCTGTCAGCACAGAGCCCGACGTGGGGCTCGAACTCACGGAACGTTGAGATCATGACCTGAGCCAAAGTCAGATACCCAACCAACTGAGCCACCCAGGCGCCCCATTATCTTCTTTAAATAGGCCTGAGTGTGTCTGATTTCATCCTTGTTCCTCTATAGTCTGTTCACTTATACTGCAACCTGAGTGGTCTTTTAAAACTTAAGTCAGGTTATGTCATTTCTCTGTGCAAAACCTTCCAAAAGCTGGTCATCTTGCCCAGAACCAAAGCCTGAAAGGGAACTAGAAACAGCAAGACCAATTTTCATTGTGGAGAGGATGTGAATTCATAGGAGTTCTGTTTATTATGATGAGAGCTGATCTGAAAAACAGGAGGAAAGTGATGAGGTTGGAAATAGAGGGGCAAGTGCTGGAGGAATGTCCACAACTAGGCCTCTGGTCCTGTTTCCCTCCATTTTCCTCAGAGCCTTCCCTTCCCAACAATCTATAAAACACACATCTAACAATGCCTAATTCTCCTGGTTAATACTCTTTTAATAATGCCTACTACTTTCTGTATAAAATTACAACTTAACCTGGCATACAAGATATTCTTCTAAAAAAAATTTGGAGACACAGAATTGGAAGCAGTCTCCAGGCTCTGAGATGTCAGCACAGAACCTGACGCGGGGCTCGAACTCACGAACCGCAAGATCATGACCTGAACCGAAGTCAGATGCTCAACCGACTGAGCCAGCCAGGTGCCCCTGGCATACAAGATATTCTATTGTTTTAAAGTGTATGGAGCACCAAATATATGGGACATTATGGTTGGTGCTGATTATAGTTAACAAAATATGCAGTCTTCACCTTAGTGGAACTTAACGGTATACTTGAAAAGACATGTGAAAAATAAGCTTGGGATTTCTCAACTCCTAAAGCTCCCTAGTTGTTTCACATTTATTGAGATTTTGATTTAATTTTCATTATTTCTTTCTAGCAAATTCCTACTTGATGGTCCAGATCCGTCTGGGCCATCACCACCTTTTGTGTCACCACACCCAGACCTACCTCATTTCTATTATGATGCCCTGATGTTTTTGTTTGCATCCCCTAGTAGACTAGTAATCTTCTTGAAAAACTTGGTCTAGTCTAATGCGGGGCCTAGGCAGGACATTCAAGGGAGGATTTTCAATAAATGCTTAACATAAACTTTAATAACAGACTTTGTGAAATCTACAACTTTGTGGAATTTATTAGAGGGATATGAAGGTGCCAATGATTAACCAATCACTAGAATAATGCAGCTCTTATCTGTGTCCTTTTAAAAATGGCACTACAGGGCACCTGGGTAACTCAGTCGGTTAAGCTGGATCAGGTCATGACCTCATGGACAGTGAGTTAGAGCCCCATATTGGGCTCTGCGCTGATAGTGCAGAGCCCCTTGGGATTCTCTCTCTGCCTCTCTCTCTGCTCCTCCCCTGCTTGTGCTCACTTACTCTCTCTCAAAATATATAAACATTTAAAAAATAATAAAAAATGGCACTACATATGGACATACCACCACCACACTCGCTTTCATTTAGTACTTCTGTTTTATTCAAATGCCAAAACATAAGTTTCAAGTACAAATCGTAGTTATACTCAGTTTGTTTGATTTAAAAACATCGATTATGCTTTGTTAACAACTTCCAAAACCAAATGTAAGTTGTTGTGACTAAAATGTCTCCCAGTCCATTTCTGGAGGATTACCCTTAATATATTTAGTAGCTACTCCAATTTTCACTCTACAAAAAGGAAAATGATGATGCTATAAGAAAAAGATAGTGAACAGTTATAATATGAAAGACTTCCTGAGAAAAACTTTAACCATTGCTAGAGAGACTAAGAAGGATACCTGTTTCTGTTCCATATTATAGCAAACAGGTTTAAACATTCTGCAAAAGTGCATTTCTGGTCCTACCCAGCCATAAATAGATATCTCACATCTCTTATTACATCATAGAAAGCCCAACTTTTCATCAACAGGATTTAGAATCTGCTTGAGGTTCTTTTCCTAAGAAAAAGGGGGTAAGAGGAAAACTCAAGTGTCTATAAACCAAATAATGAAGACAAATATTTAAATGTACTCTGATTTAAATACTTTCAAATGAGGTTGAACTGAATGAATAGCATAGAAATTTGTATCATCAACCTTAAAAGGTACCCAAATATTTTAATATTTATAGAATCAAATGAAGTAACTTCCATTGTTAAGTCCCTCTCCAAATTTTCCCCACTGTTTAGTTTTGTTATATAAAGAAGGTTAAGAACTTGTATTTTAATGTGAACACATTCATTTCTGCTGACAGCAAAGCACAGATTTTCTTTAATGTTCTATGAAGACAAGGGATTAGATACCTAGGATCAAAGAACAAAACAAAACAAAACTAGCTGAGTAATTTGGTAAGTGCACAATATTAGGGTATTTTATTTAGTTTAACACATGGTTGTTACTATGACTGATGCTGCATGCTACTTTTAGAATTAGATGGTCTTTTCCTGAAGATTTAAGGCAGACTTCAATTCTATCTGCACACTCATAGTACTAAAATGGATCAAAGATGGTAAATAAATCAGACAAGTCAGCAAGGGAATAACGGCCCTTTTTATAGTACCAATTGGAAAGTTGGTATCATGCATTAGCAGATAAGACCAAGAACATAGCAAAACAAATCAGCAAAATATAGTTCTTTAGGGTACTTTTTCCATGAAATTTTTAACTACTTGGAAACTACCTGTTCCAATTTTCAAGATGAATAAAATTCCAATATTTTCAGGAAACAAATATGGGTAGAAAAAGGATAAACTAAAAAATGGTATCTTGATCTTCAATTTTAAAGAATTTATTTTCCCATTTGTAGAGTAACATTGTAAAATCCACAGTTACTGCAACACCTGCATTGCTTAAAGGGACTCCTAAGAATTTTGTTAAAGCATATTTTTAAAAAACTGAACCAAAATAATGTACATTTTATCTCTGAACGTTGTATCATTAAAGTCCACACGATGTCCTTTGTATTAAATCAATGTGATGTTACATAATGTACATGATCTCATTTTTATCCTAAAGGCTTCTGACCATGTATGATATCCAAGATAGATCCAATGCTTTTAATGTCAGACTGTAGAGACATTTACGATCCTAAACAAAAGAAGGAAAAGTTTTATATACAGGACGGAAGTCTGACAGTTTAGCTGTTTGCTGCATCTGCTTGGCGAGGCCATCCTTCTTCTTCAACTCCAGAGTCATATTCTTCTTCAGAGGATTCTTTTGTTGGAGCCCTATAATAAAAAGTCATCAGGTTTTTTAAAAATAAAAATTAGGTTTTTAAAAAATTTTTAAATAAATTGTTTAAAACAAATTTATTTAAATTAAAATTTAATAAAATTAAATTTAAATTAGGATTTAAATAAACATGATTTCTAGACTCAAAATAATGTATTAACCCACCTAGCTAAAAACAACACACAAAAAAAGTAAGATATTAAGAGCACTTTTAATATTCAGATTGCTTAGTGGTGAAATTTGGGAAACATTTAGATCACATAGCCAAGAGTTGCAAGTAATTTCCCAATATTTTCCCTAACAAATTTATTCCTGAAATAAGTTGACAAGGCTTCAACTGTGAAGTCTTAAAAAATCCATTTCTCCAGAAAAAAAGTAGAATCTATTATTTCAACTCAAATGCTTGACATTTAGCATATATCTATAGGAAAGAAAGCTACAGCTTCTGACCAAATCTGATTTGCCTCAATTTAAAATTATGATCAGACCACCACAACTTCTTTCTATATTGTTATCAACCAATAAAAGACTATGTCTCTGAATAACTAACAATTTCCTCCTAAATTATCTTAGAAGATACCCAAACATAAAACATAACATACCTTGTGACTTAGTTAAAACAGAGATCTAATTTTTGGTATGTAACATTACTGTCAAGCACTGTACAAGAAATATTTATTGAATAGGTCAGGTCAGTAAAGTACAGCCTGCAGGCCAAATAAAGCTCATCATCTGTTTTTGTAAATAAAGGTTTAATGGAACACAGACATGCTCATTCATTTATGATTATGCTATGAAGGCAGTGGTGAGTAGCTGCAATACAGACTTGTACATCCCTGTGGTATTCATCTAGCCCTCTATAAGAAACTCTGCTGACCCCTGGGATAAATAAATGAAGCAGCGAAAAATGTGTCAAATCTGTCAACTGATGTGATACAACAGAAAAATTTGTCAAAGACATGAAACAAGTCACTCATAAATGGCAGAATTAGCAGCAAAGTTCATTTAAATCTCTTCATTTGGATGACTTTTATGTCTCTTATACTTGTTACTTACAGGAAAAAAGTGCAGGCTAATTAAAAAAAATTTTTTTAATGTTTATTTATTTCTGAGATAGAGAGAGACAGAGCATGAGTGGGGGAGGGGCAGAGAGAGAGGGAGACACAGAATCCGAAGCAGGTTCTAGGCTCTGAGCTGTCAGCACAGAGCCTGACACGGGGCTTGAACTCACAGACCGCGAGATCATGACCTTAGCTGAAGTCGGACGCTCAACTGACTGAGCCACCCAGACGCCCCATAAAGTACAGGCTAATTTTAAAGATCAAATTTCAGACTCACAAAATACTATTATTCTATAAACCAAAATTAGAACATTTTTTCTATAGAAAATTTGAGATTATTACTTCCCTTATGAATATAAGTATGCAATTTTTGTGACAGACCAATAAACCATAGCAATAAAGAGCTGATTTTAACTTTTAGATTTGGTCTAGCTTGACAATACACTTTACCGGATATATCCTGGTTCCTTTTTCCCTTCTACTACTTCTTTATCAACCTCCACACATACGATATCAGAATTAGGAACTTCAAACATTGGTTCTAGTAACAGCTTTTCCTAAAGAGATAAAAAGTGATAAATTACATGGAAAACTGAGGTTACACAGAAAATACTTATATTCCATAGACCACCAATCAAATTCATTAACTCAACAAATATTACTGAATCCCTATTATGCACCAGGAACTGAATGTTGAAAAAATATCACTGTAAAAGCTTTCACATTCTTCATATTAAAGCAGCTGCTGACTAAATTCAGAGAGAATTCATTTTATAAGGGAAAGCTATTTATCTGTAGTTCTGCCTATTTAGGTCACCATGCACATATAAAAAGACTACACTTCTGGATTCAGATGTTCCTCAGCATTCCTGGCGTTACCAAAGAAGTCAACTGGTAATCCTTACTATGAAAATGATTTAATCCTAAACCATCTCTATCAAACTCTTCAATTTTGAACTATGACTTCAAATAACCACTTGTTTTAAGGGTTGCAGTAGATTTAAGGAAAATACAGTAGATCTTTAAAAAAGTATATAAGGTTTCTTTCTTTTTTTGAGATCGAGAGAGAGAGACAGAGACGGAGAGAGAGAGCAGGGCAGGGGCAGACAGGGAATCCCAAGTAGGCAAACGCACTGTCCGCGCACAGCCCGATGCAGGGCTCGAACCCACAAACCATGAGATGATTACCTGAGCCAAAGTTGGATGCTTAACCGACTAAGCCACCCAGGTGTCCCCATAAAATTTCTTTAAAAATGTTAACTATATCACCTACTCTTCTAGTTTGCATGTTTATAAATCTGTCCTTAATCAGTAACACCTGAAGTCCAGGCCTTCATTAGAGAATATAATCTCAGACTGTCTGTGATACATGTGTAGCTCCAATAAAAAAGTCCTACTGAGATGAGAGAAGTAATAATTAGCAGTGAAATTCTTAAAATAATAAAGTGGATGATGGCAGAAAATAGGCTGGGTCACTAGAAGTTGTAACAAAATAAAAAATAGTGAGTTGCTATCATATGACAGAATTTAGGGGTAAAATATCATGATATCTGCAATTTAATTTCAAATAAATAAACAGAAAAGAATGAGAATTTCAGTGGGTCTGAGAAGGTACTCTGGGGAATTTAGTCAAAAGGCCGGAGTAAAATTTTCTAAATTGTCCTTCCTAGATTTTCTCTATTTCATTAATGGTACTATGTGTGCATCCTTTATTGCAAATGCTTTACAGTTCCTTTTTTATAATAACAAAAAATATAATCTACTGAGACAAAAAAAAAAAAAAAAAAAAAAAAAAAAAAAAAAAAAACCCATAAGAAACAACATCAGGCCAATTCTCTGGATATGCTTCCAAAGAAGTAACATGGAGGCTTAATATTTGCAAAACCCAGACCAAGAAATAATCTCGTTTTGTATAATAATGCCAACTTACCATTATGGACCGAAGGCCTCGTGCACCTGTTTTTCGTTCTAGTGCCAATCTGGCAATAGCTTTCAAAGCATCCTCAGTAACATTCAGTTCACACTACAAATACATAAAAAGAAATCAGAACTTAGATAATATTTGATGATATTTTCCTAAGATAGCTATAGAGCATTTGATCTATTAACTATTACTACCTACCATCATTCCTAGTCTTTGTAGAACAAAAAGGGACTAGTGCCCTAACTTTACAGATAAAGACTGACCCTATCCCTTTTCAGACTAAAGCATTTTTTGACTATCACTTTCTTCTTTGAAAATACTCTACTCATCATTCATTTTATAAAGTGTTACTAACCACCCTCTCATCCTACAGAACACAAAGGCAAAACTTTAGACAAGTCTGTCTAAATTACCACAAATTTCAAAACAGAGTTCAAATTACTGATACTAAATTTATTAACATACCCAAAAAACATAAATCAAAATCCTTTTGGAACATCAGACTTCACAAAATTTTGGTATTAAACAAATTTTGGTTACTAATTTCTACTTCCAGAAAATGCAATATTTAAGCAAGGCAATTCTCTCTCATAGTGCCTTAGAACCTCACCTTCAAGCACTTGTTTCTCTCAATTAACCTATGAGAAGGCAATAGTATTCTGAATCACAAATTTGTCATTAGTCTTTGAAGATGTTTTCTAGATTAACATGGACTTTCTAGGACTTTATTCAACATTTATTGGACACCTATGTGTCTACATATTAGAGACTAAATGATGAATTACCATTTTTGCCATCAAGGAACTTAAGTTCTACTGGGTGGTGACAAATAAGCAAACTAGCATTTATAGCACAGCATATGCACATGGTGCTAAGGGAGCACCAGTGTGGGAGCGTTAAAATGAGGCAAGGGGACCACTGAAGGATTTAAGGAGAGGACTAAAATAACTAGCGTTATATTTATTCATTCACTAGATATTTATTAAGAATATCTATTTGCTGGGCACTATATTCAATAATATAAAAATGATGCATTCTGGAAGTAAAAAAAGGAAGATAATGATATTTTGGTGGTGGCGGTCAGAAATAGACTTGAGACAGGGAGGCCAATTAGGAGCCAAATGCATAGGTCAATGTAAAGAATGATAAAGGAGCTTGACATGAGGTAATGGCAGTGGAATGAAGAGAAAGAAACTGATATTTAAAGACCCTAAGTTCATAAAACCCAAAACATAAGCTATGTGATCGGAATTGTGGGGATGTGGGATTGGATGTGTGGTTACACAGAAGTAGATGTGGAAGGTGATAGAACTTTAGACAAAAGTATATAAAAATATACACAGTATGTTTTAACAAAAGCATTTAGAATTTTAAGGCTGAAAGGACAATCCTGTGTGTATGGCTTGAGGGGTAGGGGGTAGGCTACTGGTATAAATTCTCTCTCTATATATGTATACTTAGGCTTTAAGCTTCATTAACAATTTTAATTAAGAAAAAAAAATAAAGCCAACTCCTAAATGTTTAATGTAACACGCTGCCTTTCCCGATACTTAGATCCACATTTAGTGAGGTATAGAAATACCAGGTATAGGCTGGTATTCTGGATAAGGAGGACTGCTTTTGCTTTTTGTTGAGCTAATTTATGCAGAGTTCCAACAGCAAAAACCCACAAATTAACTAAGTATGAAAAATAAAAATCTAACCTTATCCATGCTGAATAAGGCCTGGTACTGAGGAATAACAGCATTACGTGGCTCAGTTAGTATTTGTACAAGTGTTTTCTCATCTAGGCTATGCAAAGGAACTACCACAGGCAACCGTCCCACAAACTCGGGAATCATGCCAAATTCAATGAGATCTCTGGCTTCAACATGACGTAATAATCGATCTTTTTCTTCAATGTCTTGGTGAGTATTTGATTCTCCACTTCGATTGGCAAGGTCTGCAGCAGCTGCAGCCCTTCTGCCTTTTCCCAAATTAGATGGCGTTCCAAATCCAAGATACTGCCACGAAAAGACAGGTATTATAAAGAGAATGAAATTGCATTGTACTAAGTACTCTGCATATATTTCTCACATGACCTTTGTAATAGAAGAAAGTTCTATTATCATTCACATTTTAGAAGTAAAGAAAATGAGCTTGGAGAGCTTAAGTACCTTGACCAAGCTCTCCTTGCGGTAAGTGGTAAATCCAAGATTTGAACTCAGGCCTATCTGTCTTCAGAATTGAGAACTAAACCACCATTTAATAACCAACTCTCAAAGAATGAATTCTAGGGGCGCCTGGTGGCTCAGTTGATTAAGCGTTCGACTTCTGCTCAGGTCATGATCTCGCAGTTCATGAGTTTGAGCCCCGTGTCAGGCTCTGTGATGACAGCTCAGAGCCTGGAGCCTGCTTTGGATTCTTTGTCTCCCTCTCTCTCTCTCTGTTCCTCCCGTTTGCTTGCACTCTCTCTCTCTTCCCCCCCGCCCCGCCCCCTCCCTGCTGCTTATATGCTCTCCCTAAAAAATAAAAGATTAAGGGATGCCTGGGTGGCTTAAGCGTCTGACTTCAGCTCAGGTCATGATCTCACGGTTCATGAGTTTGAGCCTCAGGTCGGGCTCTCTGCTGGCAGCTCAGAGCCTGGAGCCTGATTCAGATTCTGTGTCTCCCTCTCTCTCTGCCCCTCCCCTGCTCACTCTGTGTCTCTCTCTCAAAAATTAATAAATGTAAAAAAATTTTAATTAAAAAGTAATAAAATGTGTAAGAACTATAAAAATGGAGACAGTAATTACTTTGTAACCAAAGTTAATTTTGTAATAGCGTAAACAAGTAGTAGTAGTGACTAAGGAACAAGCAGCCTTATGAGGAAATTATGCACAAGTGTCTTAAGTCACTGCTAAGCATTCTATTAAAATCATGATCTGAGGTTGCAGCATACATCAACCTATGAGAATAACTCTGATTTTACAAAAAACATATAAGAATGACATCAAACAAGAATACTACTTTGCTGCAAAAAGCTGGGTATCGGGGTACCTCGCTGGCTCAGTTGGTGGAGCATGTGACTTGATCTCAGACTGTGAGTTCAAACCCCACACTGACTATAGTGATTACCTATAAAAATAAAATCTAAAAACAAAAACAAAAAACACCCATTGTTTAAAAAAAAAAAAGCTGGGTATCTAAGGTGTATGGATCTTGCTTCAGTCAGTATAAAAGAACTATACTCCAGGCAACCGTCAGAATGTTTTGACATTTTGGTATTTCATACAGCTTTTGTCAGAAGTATAAGAGAAGCACATGATCAGCCTAAGTTAAAAATCTATTCCTTGGGGCTCCTGAGTGGCTCAGTCAGTTAAGTGTCCGACTGACTCTTGGTTTCACCTCAGGTCGTGATCTCACTGTTTGTGAGTTTGAGCCCTACACTGGGCTCTGCCCTGGCAGTGTGGAGCCTGCTTGGGATTCTCTCTTGTTCCTTCTTTCTGTGCCTCCCTCAGTCACTCGCTCTTTCAAAATAAATAAACTTAAAAAAAAAAAAA